ATGGTTATCATCCAAAAACACACTCCCTCTCCTCCTGAGACATCACTACTCATTCTATACAGTCTTAATTCAATGTCTCCAGTGGCCCCAATATGTAATCTCAACTAATCTATTCAAATCTGCCCTGACTATGAAATTGTCGGCCAATGTACAGGTGATGAGTTGGAGAGAGAGTGCAATTTTACTTTATGGAAGAGCGGAGTTCGCAGTCGTTCACGTTTTGCTAGGAGAGCGTTACCGCAACAGATGCCAATATTCATTTCATGCGACATTTTTATGGCTGCTTTTAGGCATGTGTAGATGAAACATAAGTTACTGAACCGGGCATTTTCTCTGACACCATAAAAGCTGCCTCCTAGGGTTTGATATGACATTTTTAGTCAGTGATATATTGCAGGTCTTGAACTGAGTATACCACATGTATAAACTGATTACCATGTTCATATGGTTTTCAATAGGAAACATGCTTAGCCCGGAGGGTTCAAAGAAACAACTCGTGACTTAGTTATGCCTATAGGTTATAAAAGGGAGATAGCTTTTGCACTGGTGAGTCTGCCCAGTGTCCAGGGCCAAATGATAAATCTCTCTTTCAATCAGCTGAGACACCTCCGAGGGTTCATGTCCTTACACAGTCTGACTCAACTTGTCTTCACTTTCAGGAGAGACCATTCGCTGTGGAGGTGTGGAAAAGAGGTATTTTTTTAATTCCAATTCCTGGACTTTTCCCCATTTCTTTGGTCACATCATCTATGTACTTTGTGTGTTTTTTTCAGGTACAAGATATGTTTTGCCTTTGTTGTAGCCTAAACTAAAAGTCAAATTTTAATCTTTTATGATGGGTCACTTTTATGATGGACCACCTGACCATGGTGACTGCTTTTTCTTGGTCCTCAAAATTTTCCCCATTGACACAAGCATGAAGCATCCTGTCCAAGGTGACCACCTGGCCAACGCGACCACCCTGAGTTGGGTCTGCTCCAGGCCCAATACCTGCCCATGGTGACCACATCATTTTCGATTATTGATGATAACTAATGAAAATCATTGAGAAACCAGCGAGTTTGCCTCGACCGCTGGATTATGTTTTTATTTGACGTAAATGGTTCCACCCTCCCCACATGCATTCACCACAGAACTGAAGATGCTTACAGCATTTGACATTAAAACATCTCAACTTGGAAAACCATTTTATGCCTCAGTCATGTTGTGAGGCGACCCCCTTCAAGACAACCTGTCCAAGGTGACCACTTTTCTTTGGTCCCCTGGATGGCCGGTTTGAACATATTTGACTGCGCTGTATATATTCCTATATATACTCCTATACTAGGAAAGACTGTGTATATAGGGTCCCAATCATAGCATAGGGGGCCCCTACAAAGTACCAGTAAACGGCCTAGTGAGAACTCTGAGCACAAAAGACATAATGGCAATTTGTCTGAACATGATTCACACTTCCTAAAATCTGAGCAGTGCAGGTAAGATTTGTCTGTTGTAGATCATTTTTTCAGCATGCAGAAAAAAGTATTTCGAGCCCTGTGGTGATCTGGAACATCTCTGCCAACGGATTTACTCGTAAGCAAGAGGCAGGAGGATTACTTACATCTTTAAGGTTTAATGTCATCCAAGATCCAAACTTAATCCCTTCTTTACAAAAAGTATCCTCTGTGATCCTTTTTAAGCAAGATAATTTTCCTGGATATCACATTAGCTGCTTTATTATTCCTACTCTTCGAGCCTACTGCATGCCATTACTATTCATTATTGCTTGACTTAAAAACAAATCTATACGACAATACTGTCAATAGTTTGTAGGCCAGTGTTTTAGGCATGCCTCCAAGTGACATGTCTTGATACTGCTACAACTTGGATCTTGCAGTAAGCTGTAAACAGCTCAAAAGGGACACCTGGTGAACCGAGAGGGAACTGCATGCTGCTATCAACTGAGAACACATGTCTTTTGGAAATGCTCATAAAAACCTTACTGTCTGGAGCTTTAAAGGGTATACCATTGCAAAATCAATTGCAGTACATTTAAATATAATAATTTAACGAACTTGTCAGCAGATACAAAATTCTGAGCCATTCATTCAAAGAATCAAACTCTCCAAGCAAGGACATTATACACAAGGACTGGGCTCGCAATTAACACCCCGCGGTGGCCATTGTTCCGCCGCGCCGAGTCCCGCTGCGTCCCTTTGTCTTCATGCCCGCGCGGCCCCCGATTGATGTCAACGTTGGACTCACCCTTTCGCGGGGTTTTCGGCCGAATCATGACGTTGGCATAGCTAATGAGCAGCACCATGACGTCATGGGCGCCGAAGCCTTCCGAAGACTACTTCGCTACCCCTGCGTTTTCCGACAGTTTCCTTATTTGGGTTGCGCGGCTGCCATGCGCAGACGTCGGCATCGCGTAGAGAAGAAAATGGCGGAGATTTTGATGTTTGTTTCATCGCCGTACGACAAACATGGACAAGTTTACAGCCGTTTTCGTCGAAGTCACTTATGTTTTCAGCCGTAAAATATGTAAGAAAATACACAGATTTTATCTCGCTATAATGTTGTTACGCCGTTTTTCCTGTATTAGTGAACGTTTTTCTTTGAATGTACGGACCATTTTGTTTACATTCCTGTACATTTTATCGGCGGTCGTTGTCGATTTTTTCCGGTCGCTGGGTTCAAACATTGCACCATGTTGTAGGAAATTCTGTAGATGGACTTGTACGGTGGACTTAGAAAGTCATGGGAGAAGATCGGGTCCGTACTTTAGGGGTTGCATTTTCCGAAGCCAAGCGGAAGATCGCCATTTATGTACCAGAAACGTGCACCAGGGACATGTCCAGACATTCATGCTTCATATACATGTGGGTTCCCGATCTTATCTAGTCCGTGTCTGCTTGTATTTTTTGGCAAAAAAACAGAAGCTTGGCACGTTGTGTTTGTTTCTTGGGGCTTCAGTTTAAAACACAGAGATATGGAACACCCGCTCGCGCTAGTGTGTAACTTTACATTCAAGCAAAGGTCCCTGATTCAAGTGTAGTACTACGTGTGTGGATATATCCCCCTCCAATTCTTCAAAATCATACTAAATATTATTTCAATCCTCAAAATCACTCCAAACTTGCTCCAAACAATGTGCCTGTCGCCCGGTCGCGGCATCGTAAATTTTCTAACAATAGCGGGGGCCGCTTGTGGGCGCTTTGTATTTATGTAAATCAAGGGGTAATCGGCATATAGGTGTCAATTGTTTTTTCACACATGAGTCGAACGTTGCTGAATAGTGACTAAATGCGACCCCAGTCCTTGTGTGTATAATGTCCTTGCTCCAAGTAACAGTGAGTGAACATTGAAAACCAGCCCTGTACTATTATGTAAAACCTTCCCATTCATTCCAAATTTTACCATCAAAGAGAACAGCTGACAACTGGAATCCTTTTGTTTGGAACAAACATGGCTACCTCTCAGTCTCCTTTTGTCTATTTTGCCAATTATGCAAATATATTTTCACCTTGTTTTAATCTCACCTTGTACGTTGTAGACAGTGTATTGCATTTATTTTGCACTTCATTTCAAATTTCAAAGACGTAATCGACTGTACTCCCAGCTTTTGGTCTTGAAGTATTCATTTGCACCCATTTCTAAGTAGTGCTGTGTACCTATAGTCCTAAACCCATGTTTAGGTTCATGTCCAGGGTTGGACAAGTCCCATTGCCCACTTGCCCAGGGCAAGTAAAAGCACTGTTCGGGCAAGTGAATATCCCCCTCGACTTGCCCGATTGGGCAAGTAAATTTTTTGGATGTAAAGTATAGCCCCTGCAGTATTTTGACCAAGTTTCAAACAATTTTGATAAATTAAGCATCCAATATTATAAACTCTATCATAATAAAATAATTTCCTTTCTGCTAGTAAAATGCATAGAAATACTTAAACTCGTAAGTCTGGACCCTAAGTCATGGCATATACAAAATTGCATGTTGGCAACCTTGCAATGTTGTATGGGCAAAACTGTGGCCACATAACATGGAGGACGACACTTGACAATGCCTGATGGCAATGTTTTCTTCATTTTGCAGCACAAATTTTGCCATCTATGGGAGGTTTTAGGTAGTTTGGAAAGAAAAGGGATATGTGACATGTTCTTTTTTTTTTAATAAGTCCGGAATCGGTTCTTGACTTTTAGGGTTTTTTTTACTTGATGTCTTGAACCTACTTGAACCTAAACATTCTTACAAGTCCGGAATCGGTCCAGCGAACTGTTCATTTCCAATTTCAAAGACATAAATATATTAATTGACTGTGCCATCAGCTTTTGGTCTTGAAGTATTCTTTTGCACCCATTCTAAGGTTGCTAAAACTCCCAAATCCTGATCCTTGATCTGGACATGGAGGTGATCTGGGTTGATCCTTTGTTTCTTACACACGTGACGAATCATAAAACGTGAAGCCAAGATCTCAATCTACATCTACATCTACAAATTCACTCATAAACCTGAAAGTATTGTACCCTGAGCTTGTGCCTACTGTACACTAATTTGAACGTAATCCCTAGGTGTGGCAGTTTTAATCCACAACTTCTTGCTCTCCTGGCCTGTCAAACCCGATTTATCAGAGACACGAGTGGCCATGTTTTCCCGTTATACATTTTGACACACATCTCTCTCAAATTCAAAATACTTTACACCTAAAGTGGTCCGATGAAACTGGACACACGAATCCAACGAAACATGTTGGAAGCAGTTTGCAAAAAGCACATCTGACGGCCGACAAAAAATGCGACCGGAACAAGCGTCCCGGCACGCACACGCCGTGCGTGGTGTGGAACAAAGCACCACGCGTCTCCCATTTCAAACACGTTTTTCTAATCAACCAACGGTAATCTTCCGCATCCTATGCGACAAACGTGTCAATAAACACCCCCAAAATCATATTCCTTGTGTGGAAATTCCCTGAATGGCAAATTAAGTGAATATTTTCCTCCAAAAATCAGCAAAATCGCTCTTACCTCCATTTGTTCCGCCATTTTGTACCACGTGCTTGGTGAAGAATGTGCCAACGAAACCAGGAGGGGGTATGAATTAAACTTTCATATTTTGTACAACATATTCTCTGCAAAAAATATTCAATCATAATCAATGTTCAGCATAAAATATTATATTTCTTCTTATAAGAAGCCTTAAAGATTCTATAAGACTAATAATCAGATTATTAAGAATTCCCCTTCATTTTGTGTTTCTGAGAAGTTGGAATCGTCTAATGGCCTGGTTGACCCTGATATTTCCCAGGATGCACTGCGCCTTATTTCAACTTTCCCATTTAGCAAATCTTTGTTTACAGTCCGGGGTTGGACATATTTACGTTCTCATTGTGAAGTGTTGTCGCACTTGTCGGGAGTCACAGTGGATAACGGTGAGTACAATACCGACCGATTAATGGTTTTTGATAGTTTTGTTAAGGTGACATTGAGGGGAGGTGCGATTTGTAGTGTTCGAGTGGTGCTTTTTTGCAGACGACGTGATCGGAATAGAAATGCCCCTCCCACTTAAGATCACTTAAAATGTTGGCCGCCTTCTGTGTAATCCCTTGTGGGAATTGGTTTAAATGTTTTCAAAGTTCCTGACAAAGTGAGATTGGTTGAAATATATATATCTAGGACAGAAAACGTGTTCTCAATGGGATTCTCAGATTTTCATCAAAATCGCTAAATAGAAAAAGTCGTTTTGGAAGGAAACGGTTTTTGGAAGAAGTGGCTGAAAGTAGTGAGTCAGAAATTGAACCACTCCTTGGTACGGAAGGAAGGGGGAGATACGGGAGATGTGTGTAGTTCAACGTACGTTTTCTAACTTGTCAACCGCAAATGTCCCAAATTTTCTCTTTGATGTTGAATTAGATTTGATGCAAATCATCATGCAATAGTAATAGTATTGACCCAATTTCTAGTCGAGAGAAATTTATGAGAAAACCATGAACAACCGAGTTTTGCGCAGGCTACCCATAATATGTAAGGAAAAGAAATAACATAAGTTGAAACCTTTCTAGTAATACAATTCCTTTACACACATTCTAGTAGTAATTTTTTTTGCTAACCCTAATCAAATGTCTTGCTGTTAAAATCCAATGCCATTTCATTATGACACTGCTTTGATGCCATCATAATGCTCAGTACTTGATTGATCTATTTATGTAGACCATATTCCACAGAGCCCATTACTGGAATTGGTTCCATGGCCAGAGATGACCACATGTGTGCAGGACCTTGAACAGTAGTGCACAGCTGCATGCCTGCGTTATTCAGCATGGAGTTATTTATGCAATGAATAACTTACATTCTTGTAGTCCGAATGTGGGGGATGTAGGTTTGGGTGTAGAATGATTTTTGTGTTATGTGTCATTTACCATACACTTAAAAAGAATTTTGTGGGGGTGGGGTTGAGGGCTAGGTGGCTTTTGTATGTTCTTAAATGGATGTGTTAGTTACCTTAATTGTACCTTAATTGCAATGGCAGTTTAGTGCTATATTCAGGACTTTTAGTTTGAAAATATGCCTTGCCATCCTGTCCAGGCTTATACTAAAAAGAGCCTTAAGACAAAATCTTTTTTTGGTGAAGAATGTTTGCAATAAACATGTCTTTCAATCAGTCTTAGCCTTGCAACCTTACGCATAACAATCTTTACACAAGCACCTAAATACACTCACGCAATGAGGTCCAAATCCTTTTCTTCGATCAGTGATTTTGTTGTACTTTGTGCTATTAAAAGGGCTACATATTTCACCATTAAATGTTACTTCTTGTTCCTTTTAAGTATAACAACTCAGAAGAAAGAAAGTTAACAAAAGAACAGTGATCCAAACAGTGGTACATGTACAAAAACAAGCTTCTTTTGAATGACATCATCACACAACACTGTGTGAACAATGGTCAGACCTTGTATTACAAGTGCTTATTTGGTGTGTTTCCAGTTCACTGGCAATCACTGAGCCTGGGTGACTTTGACATTTGTTTTTCCGCCCACAGGTCGGCTTAGGTTTCCACCTACAACTTCCTGTACAGCCGCTCCTGTCAGCTAGCTTTTGTTGTGGTTCTTATAAACGTTTAAACATGTAGATAGTGTTAGAAAACTTAGATGCTGGCTTTTAAAACCTATTTCCATACAAAGTCAATTACTTTTGCCAAGAAAGTTATGTCTTCAATAGCGTTTCTGTGATGTGTCTGTCTGTGAACATGATAACTTGATAAGACTTTAGATGGATTGTCTTGATATTTGGTAGGTGAGAAGGTCTTGATGAGACCTCAAAATGATTAGATTTTAGGCCCCCAGGTAGCTTGTTAGGACTGAGTTACCTTTTCCATCTTGTAATTACAGCAATTCTTTGAAGCTTTCTTCGGTTACCTTGTAAAGGTAACCGGTAACCTTGTAAATGTATTAACCCTTATGGGACATGGTTAGGCCTGGAAAAAAATATATTTTCCTGTTTCAGTCCTGAAAATAATTAGAGTAGGTAGGGATTATCTTTTTTTCTCTTTTTTTTTTAGACTTTAGCAATCTCTAGTTATCAAACTTATACAATGCAGTTTGATAAAGTAAAACTTACACGAGGACACTTTCATTTTCAATGACAATGTTGGCAAACCGAATGTACACTGTTATGTTTCATCACATGTCAGATCATGGAGCTAGTTTTTTATGTAACATGCTCCAGTTGAACCTAAAGCACTTACTAGTAGGAGAAATCCCGAACGTGACTATGCTATGTACTTTGTAGGACACCCTGGCCCCAGACCTACACAGTAGCACAGACCCCCCAGCACCCTGCAGTGACTCTGCCAGTGTGTGACATTCTTGTTTGGTCTCACAACAGAAGTGTTGTCTGTCAGATAAACCACCAGCTTCTGATTAACCAGACCTGTCAGGACCGTAGAGCACTTCCAGAGATACCGTCTTGATGTCTTCCCCAGATTTTTCTCCAAGAAAAGAAACTTGTAGTTGCTCAACAGTCAACTTACCTTTGGAGAGCTTGATATCCTTCAAGTTAAAATAATAAAGCCACCCAAAGCAATTTGAATGCATATGATATAACTGGATTTTCTTTTTCTTTCTGGAAGTCTTTTAATCTGGTTAGTTGAATCAACTTTCCCATAGCATACTAACACCTGTGAGGCAAAAATGTGATGACTGACAGAAAATGTTTGCTTGTTTTGTACCGTAGGCTGGTTCTAGCTATTTATCGGTGGTACCCAAAAATATCTCACATAAGTACGGATGGTTGAAAAACTGTACTGTTCACATGTAATCTTAATGAAATGTAAAGAAATACAAGATTCAGAAATGTCTATATACACTCCCATGCAAAGTGTAAATGTTACCTGTATGAACTTTGATGCCAAAAATGTACAAGAAAACATGGAGAGACGTTGTTGTGAGTTTTCCAGGTAAAACAGAGTGCAGATTGTCGTGAAAGGTTTGCTGAGCCCACTTGGACATGTGGGCCTGTTTGTACAACAAACCTCAGCTCAAACACTAACTTCTTTTCAAATATTGTTACAAACATCCTCCTGTGAAATACTCGTCACTCCACAGAAGTCTTCAACACTCGCTTCAGTTTAAGGTGCCTGTCAGTGAATAACATGTGGAAAAGTCTGTATTCTGAAGTTATTCATGCCCGTAGCCAGGATTTTGAAGGGGGGGGGGGTTCTTCCCACTGCTTGAGGGGACCAGCGAACGCCGTAGCGAGGTTCCTAGGGGGGTCCGGGGGCATGCTCCTCTGGAAAATTTTGAAACAGGAACCTTCTGAAATGGCATTTCCTGCATTTTTGAGAGGATTTTAGAGAAAAAATCAGAGGTAACTTTTTATTCAATGACAAAGTAGGCAGTTTTTATACGATCATTCCAGCCCCGCTGGTGATATGAATCAGTCCATCTAAAGAGAAATCTTAGACCTTAGATCTTCCAAAACAGGCATGTCATTGAACAGTGTGTCTCAACCATCAAATCATCTCTCCAGATCTAAGCCTATAGCAGTGACTTCAATAATAAAAAAATGATTTTAGATTTTTTTTAAGAAGTGATTAATGACAGGGTACATGATCAAGGTCAAGTGATAGACTCTTACAACTTACAAGACAAATTTCTACTAGTGGTACAGTAGTATGATCTTTTTTATACTGCCCCATATGTTTAAGAAAGTAACAACTAGGACCCTTTCTTATCTCTGATTAATTTGATTAGTTCTGGTATCAGATTTAAGAGGTGTTATTTTGACCTGAAAAGTGCATGTGGGGGGTCTGGGGTTATATTCTCCCAGGATGCCTTTCTGTCAACTGCCCAAACATTTGATGTGTGCCTGCTGATGATACACTTGACAGGTGTCAATCAACAAGCATGTTTCAAGTGGAACTCTGTTTGTTTAGTGTGGCTTACCAGTTGCAGAACACGTTGTTCCTCTTGGAAAGCATCAAGTTTTCAAGGAAAAAGGTAGGACATATGAAATTTGATCCCTACTTGAAATGAGCCAAAACTCATAAATGTTGTAAAAAAAAAAGATTGGAACAGTTGAAAGAAATTAATGTGCTTATGTGCTCTTTTGTTTTTTTTAATTTCTTTTTTTGGAAAATGATAATCATGTACATGTATCTCACTATAAATTTTATCATCCTCAAATTTCTTCACTATAAGATGATACCTTGAACGTGAAAGTTATACATACTCTACAATTGCACTCAATATACAGTCCAGACTGGGAGATGAGTGTCATAAGGGCAATCTAATCTATATTTATTTAGTAATACGTATTTATTTTTAGCTACACATTACCGTAGTCTCATAAGCCACAGATGTTACAGTAGGTTTAACTGAATTCAACTAGTGGTTGTGTCCCAGGATTCAGTGAAACATGCTTCATGAATTTCAGGTTGAACTACCAACCGCATTAAATTTTTTTTATGAAATGAGCTTTTATTAGTTAATTACTTAAAAATGGACCTCTAAAAATTATTTGATCCATACACTTAACCTGAACATTAGCCACCTTAATTGATAGTAACAGTATTAATAGTAGGGGGTTGCCAGTTGTAGAAAGACAAAATTTTTTATTAGCACCGGTACTGTAAGTGTTTTGAAACTGTATAATTTCCTTGGAATCACAAATTTATTAAGAAGATGATACATTTGTAATAAGATCAATGACATGTGTATCCGAAATGTTTAAAATTAAGATTGAAGTGATGCATATTGTGTCCTGTAGCCCCCTTTCATACCCTCCTATGTTGGGACGACATACCACAAGTATACATGCAGTGATGTAAACAAGGCCAGGCAAACCGTCCCATGGCTTTATTTAGTAAAGTGTCATCCAAGCAAACTGTGGAATGTGTGAGAGACCAACAACAGAGTACAGTGGGGAGGGGCTGCTCTCATGCTCTGTATGTAACACCAAGAAAAACTGGAAAACTAGGGAATCAAAATCTAATTATCTTACAAATTTCATGCCAAGAAATATTTTCTTGTATATCAGTGTTTAATTTAAGTATTTTGATAATCATCCTTGCAACTAAAAAGGAAAAACCGCAAAGAAAATTGATCAGTATAAGCCAGGATACAGTATGATGATACAGTAGCCTGTACACCCCCGTGTTAGTGGATGGACTGTTCCTGACTGCGGTGATCTGTGCTTCTACATGTAGGTTTGACCCCTGGTGAATCGGGACCAAGAGCAGAGGGGGAATCCTTCAGAATTCAGCCCATTTTTTAAAGGGAAAAGTCAGCATCACAGAGTCTGGCAAGTATGAATTTTTCTCTATGATACATAACGTGAGAACAAAGATAATATTTCCGTTGTCTAACAGTTGTTGTCATTCCAAATAAACTGCACTAAGCTAATATTGTACTTGAAGTAGAAACATTTTTACAGATGTTGTCCAGCACATGTCTGGATACTAACGTTGAAATGTTTTGGTATTACTATCAGATCCCTGTGACTTCTTGTTTTATGATTTTTGACTCATTACTAAGTCTGAAATGGTATTGACTTGAACAATACCCTATCCAGTGGCAAAGGTTATAATGTATTACTGTGTATTAGTATTATAATCAGCTTTCAGATTTGCAACACCTGAAAATGTTTTGCAAGCTGTAAATGTTTTGTTTGGAGTTTTTTTTTCTTTTATAAATGCATGGAGAACTTTTCTTCCAAACATGATGTGTATGCACTGGCTCAATTTAGGCAGTCTTTTGTCGGAAATTTTGACGAAATTTTGCCACTCAGGATGGACACAGATTTATCCCAATCTGACACCTTTGATGGACAAAAATTGGTGTGTAAAGATATGGTAAAGGTATCATAAGATTGGACTATTACCATTACTAGTAAGTTTAGTCTACCCTCAAAATGCACAGTTCTGGAAATAGCATTTCAGAGGGTCAAGATTTCAACATTTTGGGAGAGCATGCCCCCAAACCTCTTTAGGATTGTTATGTGCATTCAACACTCAATATGACATTATGTCAAACAAAATTGAGATGACGGAAAAACAATTCAGACAGGCTAGAACACTGTACTGGCTTGTGATACCGTAGAACTGCCAGAAATTGAATACAACGGCTGTAACAAGCCATGTCTGAGATGATCTTGTCTCCAGTGACCCCAAACATTGTTAGATGGTATAAATCCCTACCTAGGAGCTGAACCATGGTGAAGTAAAGCGCTGGATAATCTAAACCACTGCTGTGGTGTCTGGAGCTGGTTGTCTCTGTAACTCAGCCTCAGCACTAACCAGCTTGTGGGTGTGAACTCTGACAGAAGTTGACATTGCGGTTACATATAAGGCAATTTCATTTTGAGGGAAGTGCAACAGTTACTGTATTTTCAAAGTCAATTTTCTGGTTATTTTTTTAACATAGTAAGTTGAATCATCATCACACAATCCCAAGAGTAGCAATTTTCTAATGAACTATATCTGTAAAGTAAAAATGTAAAAGAGCTGTACTTTTAGAGTTGTAGAAACTTTAATACGTACCACTTAAACGTTGTCTCCCAAAAAAAAATGGCAAGGAAAAAGATGTACTGTCCCTTTTCCATGGTTTCTTTCACTCACACTATTTCCTGTTTCCTTACCCCATTCCTCAACCCTCTTAAGTTTTTATCCCATGTTTATTTTTGCTGTGGTTTCTTGTCTGACTTTCACAGCTGCTGTCTTGTGCTGAGGATTCCCAGATTAGTGCAGGTGTCCCATAATGAGACCTTATCAAGAACAGCAGTGAAAATAACCACAGGCTTATCCCCTGTCCCTAATGAACCTGTCTTCTCCTATCTTGAAAGCTGTCCATTAACATGAGATGCTGGAGGAGAGACATCTAGTGAGAAGTGGCAGTACTGCACTCCATGTCATGTCAAGGAAATGAAGAATTCAGGTTTCATAGCATTTGGTTGCAGCTTATAAGGAATGCAAACTTTCTTAAGGTTTTTATGTTGTTTACTGGTTTTGCCCAATCTGGCGAACTTGTGTGAAACTAATTTTGTAGAATAATGGATATTTGTATCTCAGGAAAGCTAAAGTTGTTCCAAAAAATAGGACATACAGCAGAATCTGACCTAACTTTTACCACTACTAGTGATAGTGATCTATGATAAAGAGAAAAAGTGTGTATACTTGTGTCATGATTAGAGGAAAATAGATGATAACATTCATTTGATTTTGAATGAATTGTAATGTATTGCCAATTCTACCTTCAATTGGAAGATTTTTCCCCAGATAAAATATTCCTTTCAGGTTCAGACCGGTTACCATGGCACTGTTGGTGGAAGCCAAGCCTGGTGACCTTGCCAAGCCCCTCGCAGTTAGAGGTCACAGACAGGCACAGAGATGCCATTGTGTCATGGGAAAACTGTGACCAACAGTTTTTGTACAGCTGCTTTTCTGCAGTATGTGTGTGTGCAGACCTGTTGTTTGCCAAGGTTAGGGTCATTTCGGAGAAGTGAGAGGGGACAAAATAGTAAGTAAGACATTTAGTCTTGAGTCTGTCAACTTTTATGAAAACTGTCTGTGTAGATAGATCTATGCCACATTGTATTTTGTTAGCCTTAATATATATATATATATATGTCAGGGTGGAGAATATAGAGATCCAAATCAGTATCCCTATGGGAAACGTAGATCGCTATACCACAAGAGAGCTTTATTGGGGTCTGGTAAATTTTAAGACATTTGCTTAAAACACGGGACTCTGCAACAGTATGATTCATGTCACATTTAATTAGATCAGTGGATTCACCTGGAATTTAGGATTAAATTTTGTAAATGGGAAACAACCCTAACACATTAAATGATTAACAGTCACTGAGTGTCCTGATCTCAACCCATAGACTTGGCGATTCTACCAAATCAGAGTCTCTACATTGACTTATACTAGATTTCATTCCAACATTCCGAGGAAAAAAGGGACTGCACATTTAATAACCTTTGTTTCCTCTTGACTTGTCTTCTCTCATTCTACAAGGATTTCCTCCCCCCCCCCAGGATTAGTGGTAAGCCCCCAGTCTGGTAGAAAAGCCCCCTGTTATGTAGATGTCATGGTCCATTGACTAGGTGTGATAATGAGGAACTGATAGACTGGGAGTTTTTCACACCTAATTAAAATGATTGTATTGGTATCTATTGTAGACAGTACACAACAAAGCCTCATTAATGATCCTCTTTTGTTGTTTCATTCCAAACAAAATACTTAAAATCCCATTCTTTATTTTAATGGATTAGAGTGTTGTTAATGAATGTATAATGGGATTGAATGGTTAGTGTTTCAAGTCATCATCTCATTGTTTAGAAGAAATATAATCTCCTAATTTCAGAAGATGTGTTTGTTCCTGTTCAAGTCTTAGAACTTTTAGAAGATACACTATAATCATAAGAACATTCTCAGGGATTCATAATAAGTATAACACAGTATCTACAAATTCTTCAATTTATGCATATTTATTGCTATTTTATGCAGATTTGAACATATTCTATCCATTATAATGTACATTAGATTATTCAAGGAGGTTTAAAATCATTGAATTATCATTTCAGGCAACGCACATAAGAAGTTGCCATCAATGAAATGAAAAATTCACTGCTACCAATTCATAAATGATAGAGTATGTACACAATTGCCAATATGCTAACAAAAGATAACATCGCTGAAAGTACCACGAAATCAGATGTTGAGTCTCCTGGGGTTGCAGTCTATGGAACCCAGTGTTGTGTGGCCTTTTGTGAGACAGATGACATAACTTCCCTGGGGGCACACTGGTCCCTCCCCTTGCTATTGTCCCTGCCTGCATATTTGTGGCAGGGAGCCAGTCGGGTCAGTTTGGCACACCATAGCCCGTCTTCAACTGTAGTCCCCACGAAAAGGGTAAGTCTGCTGCTTTTCTGCACATTTTACTACCTTTACGAGCATTCGCAATCAGCTCCAAGCTTGCAAATACCTTCTGTACCCAGTTAACATTTCAGGTATATTGTTTCTATGTAGTAATTATGCCTACTATGTACACTATAGTTCCCCCGCCCTGTCCCATTCTAGCTTCATGGATAACAAAGGAGCTGTGAAAACAAAGGTCCAGTTTTGAGTGACCAGTTAAAAACATTACCATCAACAAAGGTAAACTATGATCAAGAACTGTCAACATTGCCTGCTTGGAGGCTACTTTGATTTTTAACCCCTTATAGTATCATAATGCTGATATTATTAAGATACACAGGGCAGTGCCAATTTTTTCATTGAAAGTGCAGTTGACAATTGTAAAATATGGTGTCTCCTGCTCGTTTAGCCCTATTTGACCCTCACATCTGTTAACATAATCTCTTTCTAATAGAGTCCTGTACTTGTCTGGGATTTGAGAAAGGTTTGGTATAGGAGTTTGATATGTGAATGTTGGAGTAAAAAGGGATTCTGTGCCAAAAAGGAATTCCTGGTGTTATAATGTTACCAGAAGGCTTACTGGTGTACAGACTGTCAAGTGAAGGGAGTAACTACTGAACTGAACATCCTCATGTTTATCTAAACTGTAAACAAGTGGTGTCATCACTTGTTTTGTAGGGTTGTTGTTAATATCTGTAATGAAACAATTTGGGGTAGATCATCTAAGCCTGAAGTGTGTCTATTTTTAAGAGTGCCTAATACCTACTTCCAACCTACAATTTGCAGCTAAACTAAAGACTAAATTCATAGGTAATTTGTCAAGATCCCAACCCAAAAAAACAAAAATGTGTCTCAACTTGATAAATCGCAACACAGTCTGGGGCTTGAAATCCCACCAACATATGCACAGGTTAGCGCAGTTACATTTTGACCTACCTGTACCTATTAAATCTTCGCCGGTCCATGTACTGGGCTTATATATTGTATCATGTATAGATGTGTGTGGATTTTCATTCGCTGCATTGACCATCACCACCTACATGTAGAAGAAATGGTTTCTGAACAGGTTTTAGTATGATCTAGTCTTTCTAAATCCTTAGTGGTGCAAGTATTTGTCTGGTGCAGGTAATTTTCAACGCAGAAAAAATATTTTGAGCCCTGCAGTCAAACTCCAGACAACTTTTCTTGCAACAAAAGAACTCGGGGTCCATACTGAGATACTGTTCAGAATCTCTAAAAGTATTTCTTAAACGTTATCTCTCATGGCGCAGTGACTGGGTCGACATAGGTTTTCAGATAATTTTGATCATGCTCACAGTGTTATCAAGCAGGCTCACTCACTGTGACGGAACTAACTTCCAAGTAAGGATCTTACACAGAAATCATGACAAGTCTGGGTTTTGCACAAGCGCAGTACATTCTGCCAACATGCTACGAGGCCTTAACCAGGATTTTATCTCTTGCAATCTCGATTTTTTTCTCTTGCAATTTTGAAATGGCAAAACTGAGAATGAATTCCAGACTCATTTGACTACTGTGAACAGATAGCACAGGATATGACCCAAAGGAAGGAAGTGGGCAGGTTATGGTGTCTGAACTGTGGCAGGTGACCTCACCTGGTGACCTCACCTGGTGCTCAGGTGTGTCTCACCTGTGGTCCTGGCACACCTGGGGGGGGGGTTGTCCCAGCTTAGTCCCGTCTATTGTGTTGTTGTTTGAAAGCTAGTGAAAATGTAATTTCATTAAGTGCCGAGGCTATTGTGTTGCTGACTGCATTAATGAAGTCATCTTTTGTTTTCAAGCTTTGAAACAGCTATATATAGCAACATGTTTGACAGTACTCTCTCTCTCTCTCTGTAAGCAATAGAATGAGACTGCATTGATGAAGGTGTGTTTTCACTTTCTTTGAGTGTTCGGTTGTCAGCTTATATCTTTAAGGCTGTAGGCCAGGCTAGGCAATAAGCTACAGAATATTAACCTTGCATTGGGAGGGGGTGTGCCATGTCTATAATCTAGGATATAATAAATCTAGGAAAAAGCAAAAAGAACCAACTTTAAGTTAACTCCAAATAACAAAAATAAGCTTAATATGTTTTTTTTTCAGTAGCCAACCTGAGCCAAAGAGACAAGACTGAATTACGGGTAGCCTCTACCAGGCTTGAGAATCAGCTAGAAAGAGTAGACATTGACCAAACAGACAGATAACATGCCAGGGGAGTTAGTCCCCTAAATATGCAGCTCAGAGCAGCAACCTGTACTCCTTTAGCAGACCGCCTCCCCTGACATGTTATCTGTGTATTTGACCAATTCCTACTCTTTCTAGCTTCCTCTAAAGAAAATGCAGCCATGTTTATTTTACCTGTGTCCTGATGTGAAGTCTGTCTGTTGTGCAGGTAGTGGCAGTCAACCATGGCTGAGTACAAGTCTGCCAAGGAGAAGAAGTCCAACACCTTGGGCTGTCTGAAGATTCTACTCCTTATCTTCAACTTCCTGTTCTGGGTAAGTACAAGACTTAGTGTGTCTCTAAGTCTTGCCATATCTTGTAGGTTGTAAAACATATGTTATGATATATGATACACGCACAGGGACCATATAATTCATTTGCCATTTCTTTCATCAGTTTGGTAAATCTTAAAAAACTACTTGTCAAGTGCAAGGTTCTATATATTTCTCTTAGTTTCCGTTCCAAAGAACTATAAAGCTACTTTAACAGATATCTCATGGACACTTGCTAGAATCACTGGTCCTTGGACATGGTTTTAGAATAACCAGTAAATGGTACAGGCAGCACAGGTTTTTGGGCTAGGCAACAGCTCTTGAAGAGAAACCTGCTGTGAGTGGGTGTCACTGGAAGACAGACGAAATTGTTCAAATGGCTATTAACCTGGTGGACGTACCAACAAATATATTATACTAAGTACCTAAGGCCCAGAAAAGAACAAGAAATTGTCATGCCTTCAAGTAACTGAGTTATCAACTAAGGCTCGTGCTCATTCTTTCCTAGAACTATCAGCAAGTATGTAGTACTGTGGCATCATCATTAGATAATTTTAAACAATGTTTAGAGTTAGATATTCAAAGGCTAAGTGTAACAAGTCATTTGGCACAATGTAGCCAGCTGCTGCCGCGCCTTGTGCCTGCAAAGGTGGTGTGTTATGCCGAAATGAGGTTATACCGACTTTACAGATGCAGAAGACATTGAGTACATAAAACCCTTATGAAAGATATATATAATATATATATATATAATTGTATCATTGATCCCCATGCAGTGTTCTGGTGCAGCAGTCCTGTGGCTGGGCATCTGGATCCTACAGACAAAGACGAAGTACGTTGCCCTGCTGAACTCGGCCACATACCCAGCCTGTGCCTGGATCCTCATCATCGCAGGGGTCATCATCTGTATCGTGGGCTTCGTGGGCTGCTGTGGAGCCATCAGGGAGAACAAGACTTGCCTTATTGTGGTGGGTACTGATACTTATATCATACCCGGGCCGCGATAACGTTCGATAACGGGTTCCGGACCGGGCCGTACATTACGGTACGGCCCGGAACCCGTTATAAAACAATTCGAACGCGTTTCGCCCTAACCGCGTGTGCCCCTTTCGAAAATTCGAATACAGAATCCGGACGTTGGAATTGATGTTGTTGCATTTTAGGGTTTAGTGGCACCAACTTTGGGCTCATCTTGCATTGCGTTTTCTTATATATACATAAATAAAATACAACACGGTGTATTCTGCATCGTCCTCGGTCCCGGCCCTCCCGCGAGTCGGATCGCCCTCCGGCCGGGCCGATACCTCGGGCAATACGGAATACCCCGTGTTGTATTCTATATTTATATACCTGGGATAATATTCAGGTGTTCTGGCCTGTGTGATAACTAGCGGTACAGCCGGGGGTTCTATTTGGTTACCACACGGGTTTCCAAATATTCCGTAGAATAATTCAAATGCACTTTTGAAAATTCAAATACCGCGGATTAAATTTTCAACACATGACCTTATACAATCGAGACTTTATGAAAACTTAAAGTCAGCAATTGCTCCAATGTGATAGGCATTTTACTTCATCCAACGTCTCTGTTTAATGATGGCTGGAGTGCCCAAGTATATATGATCTCTCCAAAAATACCTGTGTCCAGTGTCCAGTATTCTGACCTTGTCTACGTACCCTTTTGTTGGCATAAAGTTTAGCATCGTACTATCATAATGATTACAACCAACACAGATGAACTTCTATGTTAATGCTGTTACTATTATCTCTCCCCAGTATTTTGTCTTCCTCCTGATAGTCTTCCTACTGGAGATCATCGCTGGTATCCTGGCATATGTCTACCAAGACCAGGTATGTCCACATTTCATTTGTCTTCTCAAGGTATTGAAAGATTTGAAGGATTCTTTTGATTGTTTTCATGCGGTATGTCTTTCTTCTTGCCAAGTGGATCTGTCAATTTGAAAATCTTTCTCTTTTTCAAACTTGGAATCAACTATGCTTTATGTGGATCCCATGTTGTTGTCAATTTGAAATGTTAAGACTTATCTGTAACAGAGGTATTAATTATTAAGAGTCATCTATTTGAATTTCGGACTGGGGTGGATGTTATGGAGATTTCTATGTACTGTACTGAAGATCACCTTTATTTATTAATTATTAATACCATGTGTTCCTTTTACATTCCATGCCTACATACATAGTGGGTGAGTGGTTGTCCATGCTTTCTTTCCTTCTTTCTCTCCATTCCTCAACTGTTAGTCCTTCTCTTTCTTAGAGTGCATGAAAACGTCTGTGATATTCTCTGAGCATCTTGTATGTATGTCTCCTATACATAAATTACTGTACTTATATATCTGATGTATTGTTTCTGTATTCCTGTATACATTGTATATTGTTACCATTAAATGCTAACATAAGTATGTTTCCTATCAACCTTCTGTTTTCTGTTCATTCCTATTAGCATCCTATCATCTACATTTGTATTTCCAAACATTTCATTTCATGTATATACTGTATGTCAATGTCACCCTCACAAGTTACTGTTCCTGATCATATCAGCCAGTTGTCTTTCATGCTTGTGATTTTTGTCTGCTGTTCGGAGATGGTTTATTGATGTTTGTCCCGTTGCCATGACAACAGCTGCGGGGAGAGCTGAAGGGTGGACTGAACTCCACCATGATCATGCAGTACAAGGCCAAGGGGTCAGAGGGCATCACCCGGGCAACTGACATACTACAACAGGATGTGAGTTGCTTTTTTTCGTGTCAGCAGAATACTTCAAATCTGATTCACAAATTTCAAGTGATGCAAAATTCCTTTACTGTGGTTATAATTGTTTTTTGGCCATCTGGAAAAATTCTTGAAAATCTGTTATAGAATTTAACTAATCTCAGGTTTTTACCAATTTTAAATAATTTTTTTATTTTTTCAAAACTTGAAATATGAGAAATTTCTATAACTGTTTGCAATTTTTCTTCCTTCCTGTAGTTCCGGTGCTGTGGAGTGTTAAACTGGCGGGACTGGAAGGCGAACAGTCCGTCCTTCAAGACAGGGCCGGCCAGGAACATGACAGCACCAAACAGCTGCTGTATATCACCCTCAGACGGCTGTGCTGCCAGGGACCACCCCTCCAACATCTACCACGTGGTACGACCCAGGGGGACATCTCAGCCCACATTTCTGTCATTACTTCTGTGCTTTATATCACTACAGATACTTAGAGGTATTTATATGTATGGTAGAGATATGCAGGACTATTTATAGACACATCATGACATAATTGATGAAGACAAATAAGCATGATTTTGTCTGGATTCGAATGGGAAACAAACCCATAACCTGTAGTCCTGTTCAGAATGGGAAACGAACCCATTGACCTGTAGTCCTGACCAAAATGAGAAACGAAGCCATGACCTGTAGTCCTGACCAGATTGGGAAACGAACCCATGACCTGTACCTGTAGTCCTGAGCAGAGTGGGAAACGAACCCATGACCTGTACCTGTAGTCCTGACCAGAGTAGGAAATGAACCCATGACCTGTACCTGTAGTCCTGACCAGATTGGGAAACGAACCCATGACCTGTACCTGTAGTCCTGAGCAGAGTGGGAAACGAACCCATGACCTGTACCTGTAGTCCTGACCAGAGTAGGAAACGAACCCATGACCTATACCTGTAGTCCTGACCAGATTTGGAAACGAATCCATCACCTGTAGTCCTGACCAAAATGGGAAACAAACCGGTCCCATGACCTGTAATCCTGACCAGATTTGGAAACAAACCCATGACCTGTAGTCCTAACCAGGGAAACGAACCCATGACCAGCAGTCCTGACCCTAATGAGAAATGAACCCATAACCTGTAGCTCCATGACCATGTGTGTTATACCTGCAGGGCTGCCTGGATGCCATAGAGTCGTACATCAGGACATACCTGTTCATCATCGGAGCTGTGGGCATCAGCATGGCCTGTCTCATGGTGAGTACACAGCTGACTGGTCAGGATACACACCTGACACATCACACGATAAATCAGAATCTTCAGTCATCAGCATATCGGAGTGCAAATATGTATAGGGAGACATACATGTACATGTAACTTACTTTGTAAAGCTGTTGACTTACATGTACCAGAGGTTATTATAGGACCAGCGTCAAGTAGCTAGTGTGGAAGCTAGTGTCCCTACGTATTATTAGCAGTAGTCTAGCATTGATTTTCCTTAATAATACCATTTCTTTCTTGCAATCTACCATATTCTTGCTACATGTACTTCTTTAATACTATTGCTCCAGTAGAGATGCATATCCCCATAGAAACTTATAGTAGCTTGACCACTCTATCAAGTCTGTTTCTTATCTCATCTCTTTCTACATCCCTCCATCCCTCAATCTGCCTCAGATCTTGGGTCTGTTCTGCACTCTGTGTTTCTTCCACCTGGTGGACGAGTACCAGGAGTTAGACAAGGAAGTCCACTGAGCTTCACCGCTCTCTATCGCCCCCTGGCAAGTTTCTCTTGAACTGCAAGCTTAACAACTCTTCTTTCACACCTTCAATGCTTATCAATACTTTTGGCTGTTTCCATGTGAAACATGGACATGAGAGGATACCATTCCTGAAAAATTCCATACTTGTAAAATGATTTGCCGGACGAAGGCTCATGAAAAAAAAACAGTTGTACAGGGCAACAAAGATATGCAAGATATTTCAAATTTGAATTCCCTTTTCAGAAAGTTTATGGAACAGCCATGAATTCCTGACATTTTGCAATTTCACATTTTCTCTTACAATATCACAGTGAGACTATTTCTCTGTCCTTTTGACATGTCCTTTTATTTTTATCAGAGATAACCATTCAAGTTCCTTTAAGTGTTCATACACAACCATCACCATTTATCAAAATGTATTTTCACAACCATTTTTGTGTTTCATTTTTTTTCTCTCATGCATATCTGAGCTTTTTTAGTCATGTTTGGTTAGATTTGGAAAGTTTCTGATTTTTTCACCTGTGTCTGTTCCAGTTTATTGGGATGATCCTGACCTGCTGTCTGCACTCAGCCATCAGGAGGAGTGAGAGTTAGGCTGGTCCTCCTGACAAGTCGTCTTCACATGGCACATTGTCTACTACTTATGTCAAGGTTTAGTTACTAAGAGATGCACTAGCTAATCATGGCATTACATGATTCCTATGATGCAACAAAAACTTTTAAACCAAAAAATTTTGTTTAAAGACATGAAGCAACTATAGCTAGCAACAGCAATTTTTACTTACAAGTAAAATTCAATGCTTAGTAGTTTTAACAATCAAAACTTTATCAAGAAAAACCACAGAACTAACAGTGGTTGTAGATACCTTTGACATAGGAAATATTTCAATACCAGTTGGTATGAAGCTGTTTTAAGCAATTTTACTGAAGGAAGTTGTTGACAATGTGCATTCATGTAACTACAAATGGTATCAAAACTTTAACTTTTGTATTTGCAGATACAGTCTACTTAACATGTAGTTGATTTGGTAGCACAAGATGAAGTTTACGTAGTAACTGGTATTGGAGAAAATACCGTACAAATGACAAACCAACTTTTAACCTCAACTTGAAATATGAGGGCTTTTTTATACAAAGTGACAAATTTTCTAAAAATACTGCCAGTATTTCAGGATGGAAAGGCATGTAACAAACAAGAAAAGCTGAAGTCTTGCCACAAATGCAGATGTTATTTTCTTGCCTTCAACGAGAAAATAACTTTCACATAACGTCACAAACAACTTCTATTTGCAATGTTTTCTAAGACAGTGTGAAGTATTTAATGCAAACTATTTATAATAGTTTTAAGCTTTTGGAGCTGATGATAGCAATATGCAATTTTGCAGTAGGGGTGGAGGTTACGTCATATTTGTTGTGGGGAGCATGGTAGACGACAGTTTGTATATCAGATATCTTTTATTAATATTGTTCACACAGATTTAGGAATTCGAGTTTGTCATAGGGTTTTGTGCAAGGTTTAAATTGCAATTATAGCAGTGCAGTACCATGTATTATAATTTATATATAGTTGAGAAGCAGGATATTTTTTTTTTTTGCAATTGTTACATGCACTTATGTTGCGTGGTCTAGAAACTTGATATGAATAATACTATTGCGTGGCGTCATAATAAGGAATCAAACATACCATAAAGTAGGGTAAAAATGCTTTTTTGGATGGCAATGAAAATGGACACTGGGAGCTTAGAATGCTGATTTTAAAATTTCAAAGCAAAGTGATGGCACTATGCAATGTACTTACACCTGTGCGTGTGCTACTTTACAAATTTTTCAAAGTTGCCAGGCACACATACTGCTTTTGTTAGACAATGTTTTAATGAACTACTTAATACTTTGCAATAGACATGTACCTTCTGGTAGGAAAAGAGGTGTAGAAAGTGTGTGCAGAAATTCGGTGGATTCTTTAGACTATGTTTTGGCAAACATTCTTGAATTTTTGTGACCACTGCCTGTTATTTATTCTTGAACGTTGACCCCGCCCTGACATGCCCTTCAAAATTATATTTTCATGTACACTTGGTGATATAGGTTAGGAGAAGATTGCATATATCAACACAAGTTTGTGGTTTGCAACACACCTTGCAAGACCAATAGATTTTATTTATTGTATGATGTCAACCCAAAATTTTTCTGTTAAACAAAGTGAAAGGATATAGATTTATAGATTTAAGTGAAAACTTTTAATAAAAATTCTTGAAAACTTTTTTTGATAAAAAAAACCAACTCTGGGCCATTGCAAGTACACTGAATGATGTAATGAAAATATGTGTTTTGTGTTGTTTTGTGTTTAAGAAAGTTGGTGCATGTATTTATAATACTAGAGGTGTATAAATTATTAGCATGCATGGAAACAGCTTTTATTATATTTTATTATAGTTTATACATATAGATTATTTATCGTTGATGTTTTTACCAGGTGTTTGTCTGTATGCTATTTGCTTGCCACTTTCTTTGTACCATTTTAGTAAAGTTGATACAGAAGTTTACTGCCTGATGGATTCTTGTGTCCATTTTACAAAGAACCTGAGATATATATGGACCTGAACAAAGTTAAGAAGAATAATTTGTTAGGCTAGTCTAACATAATGTCCAACATTCACCACCATTTTGGATTTTATGTTGAATATCATAAGCATTACTAGTAGTTTCTTCTGGTTGTTGCTGAACTTTAAAACTCATCAACGAGTTTCATGATACATGTATTGGATTCAACCTAAGAACAAAATGATTACATTCTACTATGTCCAGGCATATCTGGATGAAAAGGATAAAGCAATCATTAAAATAAAAGGAAAAAGTTGACATTCATTTGTAGTTGCAAATAGTAGAATTCATGTCCTCTATAATCATGCAATGCCCCCAAATGATATTCTATACAGCAAAGTCAACAGCAATACTGCTTTAAATAGACCTTTAAATAGAGCGCTTGAATACCCTCATCTATGAATTGACATTACTATCAGGTTTTGATTTTTTAAGCAAGTCTGATGCCTCTTGTAGAGACGTAGTTGCTACAACAACATCAGGGTCCTCCTCATCCCCTCCACTTAACTCCCTACTCATCTCAAGAGACTGTTGGAAGTACTCAACAGCTCTTTGGTAATCCTCAAGACGACAGAACACCTTCCCTATGTCATGAAGTGTTGTGGCAATTGAGAAATGGTTCCTGTCCGGCTCATGTATGGCTTTTTGGACCTCAAGGGCATCTTTGTAGAAGTCTAGGGCTGCTTTGTGGTCACCCAGGGCATTAGAGGTGTCCCCAAGGTTCCGAAGTGACACTACAATCGACTTTCTGTTAACATTCTGTCCGTATAAACTTCTTTGCATTTCTAATGAGCTCTTAGCATATTCCATTGCCTGATCATATTTTCCAAAAGCATTGTAAGCAAGTCCAAGGTTGTTTAGTGTCAAGGCAATGCGGTGATTGCTTTCTTTGATTCCATAGAATGTTCTGTACATTTCCAGTGCCTGGTGCAAATGCGTGATCCCTTTCCCTTCATCTTTCAGACGATGCCATGCCACACCTAGCCCATTCAGGACTACTGCAATATCAGGATGGTTTGTTGCTGTACCATAAACTACTCCATATATCTCCAGAGCCTGTTCAAAGAAGGAAATTGCTGCCTTGGTGTGACCCAAGCAATACCATGACATTCCAATATTGTTGTATATTCTGCCAACATCCACCTTACTAGTAGCATCCTGCCCATACATTTGTTTTAGCATGTCCAGTCCCTGTTGAGAGCGCCATATGGCTATCTCATGATGCTCGAGGTAATGCCAGGATATGCCCAGATTACTGAGCGTCGTTGCAATGTCAACCACATGAGCATCCTCTCCATGTAAGGCTTTATACATTGTCAATGCTTCATCAAAGTATTTGATTGCAATTTCATACTGGCCAAAATTGAAGTGTGCCAACCCAAGCATGTCTAACGAAGTTGCTATGTCTTCCCTCACAGCACTCTCTCCATAAAGGTCTTTCTGCATCTCCAGGGCTTGTTCGTAGTAGCTGATAGCTGTTTCATAATGGCCCATTGCATTCTGTGTGGACCCGAGATCAGTTAGAGATGACACAATGTCAGCATGATTACAGTTCTGTCCATAAAGAACCCGTTTCATTTCCAAGGCCTGTTCATAGTGGTTGACTGCAGAGTCACGAAGGCCTAGGTCATTGTAAGCTCTTGCTAGAGTGCGTAGAGACATTGTGGTAATAGTGTGAGTTGGTCCGTACACAATCTGCTGCTTTTCTATGCTTTCCTTGAGGTATCTGATTGCGTTGTGATACTGACCATCATCGTGACAGATTGTCCCTAGGTTGTGCAGTGTTGTAGCGATAGCCTTCTCCCCAGATTCATCCTTAGATAGCGCTTTTTGCATTGCCAGGACCTCTTCAAAGTAACTCACTGCCTTCTTGTAGTCAGCTTGTTTGTTCCACAGCAATGCAAGATTGGTAAGGGATGACACAATGTCAGCATGGTTTGCACCTTGTCCATGCAAGGTCCTTTCCATTTGCAGGGCCTTTTCATGATAGCTTATAGCTGTTTCAGTTGCACTCAAATCATTCCAAGTTGTAGCGATCATACTTAGCAAGGAGGCCAGCCTTTTGCTGCCGGCGTTCTGACCAAAGATGGTTCTGTCCATTTCTAATGCCTGTTCAAAGTAGACAATAGCTGCTTGGTACTGATGTACACTTCTGAATTCCATCCCAATGTTGTATACCATTGTAGCAATGTCATCATGGGCAGCATCAGGCCCATAGATTGCTCTTTGCATTTCCAATGCCTGTTGGTAATATTTGATTGCTTTTTCATGCTGACCCAACACACCTGACACTGAGGCAAGGTTACTTAGACAAGTAGCTGTATCTGGGTTGTTGCTGAATCTACCAAACAAAGTTTGACATATTTCTAGAGCCCGTTCAAAGTAGCCTTGTGCTTTTTTGTAATCATGTTCCAAATACCAGGCAGAACCAAGTGTTTCTAATGGTTGGATCATGATGTCATCATAACCTGTATTGTCTCCATACAGGGCTGCTATCATGTTTAAGCTCTGCTTACTGTATGTTATCGCTACCTGGTTATTTCCTGACCGATACCAGGCCGTTCCTATGTGACTTAGACACCTGGCAATGTCAAGATGATTGCTTTCTTGACCAAACAATGATCTGAGCATCACTAGTGCCCTTTCGTGGTAGCCAAGGGCTGTCTGGTGATGTCCCAGTCTCTCCCATGTCACTCCCAGGTTGTTCAGTAACCTAGCAGTGTCTGTGCTATCCCTGTCCTGCCCAAATGTCTCTAAAGCCTGCTCATAGTATTTGACTGCTGTCTCATATTCTGCTAACCCACTCCATGCTGACCCAAGGTTCCCCAGTGCTAAAGCAAGGTCAGTGGGACTTGAACCTTCTGCTGCTTTCATCTGCTCAATATACTTCTCCAAGTGAGAAACTGCTAACTGGTTTAACGATAGAGCCATGCAGGCATCAACCTTGGCATCTAAAGATCGTTGGCAGAGTGAGGTAGTGAGTAGGTGATCAGTGTATGAAGAGACATTTTCATCTGTTAACTTTGACAGAAGCTTCTTCAAGGGCACGGCTGTGTATTGGTACCTGAGTAATTGTCTCCAATCACAAGGGAAGACCAGCCTTACAACACTGAACTCATCATCATCTGATTCCCGGTACAACGCCTGTGTTAAGGCAGACATACTTTCTTTCTGGCCCTTGTTTGTCATGTATGTCCTAAGACGAAGCTCTGCTGAAATGCTGAGCAGAACCCTAAGATGATGAGCATTATCATCACTAATCTTCTGGGACAACTTCATTTTGTCTACGGTGTCCCAGAGATTGGTTGGGGGGATCTCAAGGCACAGTGCGAGGGTGTCAATCATCACTGTCGGAAAACGGTACATCTCTTTCTTCACATCTATTATCCTCTCGGTTATCTCATACTCTCCGAACTTGCCAATGTCCTGGCGAAGTTGCACTTGGCCTTGTTTGATGGCTAAAGACACGTTTTCTGTAGAACTGTGAGTGAACTGTGCAAATATTGTCTCCATAGCATTCTGGTATTCTTCTACCAGTCTCTGGTCTCCGTGTAGTAGGGTCACATTTCTTAGAATTCTAGCCAAGTTGTATCCCTGTGCTAAGGAGATTTCTTCCTGTTGGTACTTTGCCAAGTTTGCTGGAGTATCGATGAGCTCAACTTTGGGTTTGTACAGTGTTTTGTCTCTCCCAAGTGGGGTTTTGCTGGCCCACGGCATGGACCCATCGAATGACATCCCCCGCGGGGTTATGTCGTCATAGAACCAGTTGTCTTCTGGATCTGACGAGGTAAAGTCATTTAACGACTTAATAGCCATAGCAGGGAGGATGGTTTCCCCGAGGTTGATAACTTTCATGTGCAGAAGGTTTGTGAGGTTACGGAAGTATTGTTTCTCGTCATCACTATCTTTCCCCTCTTCGATCAGAATAGCAAACTCTAAATCAGAGTATGGAGTGACTAGCTGTGTAGCCTGTGAGCCCAGACCTATAACAGCATACAGACAAGTAGGGCGGCCAAGAACTTCAATACACTCTAGTAACAAGGTCTGTAGGAACTGTTTCCTATCCTCTGCTATCTTCACAAACATTGCCCTGACTGCATCTGCCCTGTGACCTTCAAAATCTCTGACCTTGTCATCATCATCATCACTATCATAATTTTTGGGATCAAACTTTTCATCTATAGCTCTCAGTTCCCTTTCTACCAAAGCACGGTGCTTATTTAGCTGCTGTTTGTGTTCTTTGTCTAACTCATATGGACTTGGCTCATAAGGATGGTCTGTGAAGGTTTGGGTGAAATGTCTTTCAGTCTCTTTGATAGATTTGACAAGGGCATCCTTTGTCAAATCGTTATCTGACCTTGCCAGAGCTGCATTGTACAAAGCCGTAGCTTTCGTGAAGTCTCTTCCATCCTCTCCCTGTCTTCCACGTTCCTTGTAGACATCTCCCAGCTTCTGGAGACCTTCTACCTCTTTTCTTAGACGTAGCGGCAAAGGGGTGGTTGAGCTCCCTGCATTGTGAAATAAGTCAAATGCACTTTCTGTTAGTCTGAGTTCTTTCTTTCCACTTGTTATACATGTACATGTTGTATCAAGGACAATAAGATGCACAGAGTCTTTTTTTTATCAAGGACAATGAGATGCACAGAGTCTTTTTGATACATTTTGTAATGTACAGAAAAGTTAGCATTGATGCAACACAAGTGATTTACTGATTTACCATCATCAGAGTTACTGACACAGTCTGAATCATGTAATCTTTCTTCTAACAATTCACAAATGGCCAGAAGGTTATAGAGGTATGGAAATACAGGTAGACTTCACCTATGACTCTACAGACAAGGTAAAGAGTAACTCACTGTGGAATATCTTTAGCCCCGCTGCAAAGTGATGCTCAGCAGACTCTAAGTCTCCTTCTTGTAGAGCATCACTTCCTTTTTTGAAGTGGTTGTGACAGGTCCTAGATATAAAGAATATGGAGTCTATTGAGAAATAGATAATCTGCTTTTCATCCTCGAGGATTCCATAAAAATACACATCTTCACACCTTTTGTTTTTTTTAACTGAGCATAATTTGGTGGACAGTTATACATGTGGAAAATCATAAACAAACAAATAAAGCAACAAGCAAACAGAAACACACACATTAGTTGAACATGCATAAAAGTAACCATGTATGTTATTGTATGGAGTCTCTATTTCTAATTTCTGTGTTTCAATCTCACATCTGTGATCTGATGTTCAACACTGTATGCTCTCTAAGTCTAATCATTAAGTCCAAAAGAATAAAGGGCTTAAATATCGGTGTGGACATTTGAAGCACGAAGTTAGTTTTAACTAACATTATGATACGTGACATTGCCTGGTAACAATAAAGTTGACTTTACCTTTCTTTGTCTTCCTCAGACAAGGGCTCTGTCATTTCCGTCATGGTGGTTGTGACAAATGGAGTTGCCAGGAAAAAAAACACGTCACATCTCTTTGTTACAACATGGTTGTAGCCTAGTAAAGAAAAATCAACATTCATGTATTACTAGTAGTACATTCCAACGTACGTGTGGTTTCTTCGTGGAAAGTAAGAATTAATTTCACACACTTTCACTCAATCAATGTTTTCTCCATACCTGCCATTATATAATAATTAATAACACTCCACAAAAACATCGGCACTACAAGCTTTCCTTCTTATAGTTGCCCACCCTCAAAAGGTTGAAGCGATTCATAGGAAAACGTTGAAATGCTGAATCTTTCATTCCCGGGATAAATCTATGGCAGTATGGTGCAGGATTGAGAGGGAGGGCGGCGACTGGGTATAATAATTTATCCTACTCCATGTTTTGTTTTTTTCTGTACGTTTAGCAATTGATTTAAGACTTCATAACTCTGTTGTATTATGATCATACCTTTGTACTCAATGTTAACATACGAAGTCTTGAAATAACATTTTTTAAGACATACCTGTTCGGGAAAGTAAGAGCGCTGCAAACACGGAAGCACTTTCACTATCGAGTCCTCCAACCACGCCTGCACGTTACCTTTGACCCCTATTGTTTGTCTGGATGAGTCATGTGTATCATGTTACATCATGCAGAACTGCCGGGGAAGAATCGACCTCTCATTAAATAGGCACATCGGAAAACATTTAAAAGATTCCTTAGGCACTGAACAGACTTAAAATGTTAAATGGCGACCCAGTCGGCAAGCTTTGAGAGGTTTGCCCTCATCGTGTGCAGTACTAGTGCAGTCCATATCCAGTGCAGAAAAGCAAGCAAACTTCTTTCTTCTTTGGGAAGTAAGGACGAACTAGAGTGTGAACATTGTCAGCTTTCGGACCAGTCAACTCCAAACAACACCACTGACAATTGTTAGGGTTAGGATTTGAACTAGGTCATGCTAAGAGTCAACTATGGACCGAGTTGACAACGGCCCAGCTCCTCTGAAATCGCCTAGTACTGACTCCTGACGCCTCACACAGAAGGCGGTTCAGCACCAGGGCTGGTACCGGTGCCGAGTGTTGTACAAGCCTTAGGAAGAAACGACGCCCAGAGCAACGCACAAAAGAAATACTCCCCGCTGTGGCTTCTCCAGCAGCTTGAATAATGAATTGTCCCCCATAACCACATAAACTAATAAACATCCTAGAAGGTCCAGTCAGCAAAAACAAGATTAGCATAATAACTGTCAATCCTTTTGAACAAATTCAAATATTGCTGACTTTCGCGAGGTATTACTTCATTGTTCGGATGGCCCGCAGATGAAATTGTGTATACACCGAGAAATTGATAGGTTATTGATTGGGATCGTTTAACTGTCCATATTGTTTGATCTTATTGTATTATTCTTTTGTAAGTGAAACCACTTTTTCACTATTTTTTTTTCTGTCAGTGTCTTCGCTTCACGATTCCACTGTAATAGTAAACAATAGCGACGATTTTATACCACGATCGATGCATGCTCCGTACCCTGTTGATTAGAGCTTGAAGTCGTGTGTAAAATGCAATAGTGTAGTAGTTAGATAATAGTTACATGGCAGGACACCGTTTGTTTAACGTCAAAGTGTCATTGTCCGTCTGTTAGTCAGCTACATGTAGTTTTCTTGTTTTAGTATACACTAGATCTTTAGCGTTTGGTTACAGTTGGAGCATGTTATTTATTAATGCTTGAAAATGTAATTGTTTGTTTCTGTAAGGCCATGTTGATTTAATTATATGGATGACATCCTCCGGGAGCCCCAAAACTGATGCGCGCGTGCGAATAAAAAAAAAGTTTTGCAAAAAAAAAAAAGTTGTTTTCATTATGAAATCTACGTCGTCATGAGGGTTGAACAAATGGGACAGAATATGGTTTGGCGAATAATCTACTCTTCAAGTTCATTTCCTTACAATTTCGTCTTTTTTGTTTGATTTTGGCATTCTACGACATTGGTATAGTTTTAACTTATTTTTGTAACTTACGGTATATTTTTGCTCATTTTACAACTGTTTTGTACGATTTACAGTATGGTTGAAAACTTTTTTTTTTGGAAACGGCCGAAAATTCATGCGCGCGCGGTCGATGTCATCCATATAATCAAATCAACATGGCCTAAGGTAGAGGTAGCTTAGAGTTAGAGTGTTTGTTAGGTTTGTCAACTTTTAACGTCTTACTTTCAACAATAAAGCGCGTTATGTGCCTTATTTATTTGTTATCGTCGCTGTCGCTTTTCTATGCTGTACCCTTTTTCTAAGGACGTTGTCTGATTTCCCCTATGCAAATCAGCACAAGTAACAAGATACATTCCTTTGTTTCGTAATCAATTAGTAGTAAAACCAATCGGACCGGTTTTATCCACCCACTCAGTCCCTATATAAACGCGTCCCTGACTTCTCCGTTTCTGTCAGTACTGACTCTGCAGCCGTGAGGATCTGTGTCGTCGTGAAAAACATCGTGCAGTACTTTGGAGCGCTTGTGTATCTTGGTAAGTGCTGACTATATTTATGACTACTGCCATGTTGCACTATTTTGTAGATTACATTGCAGGCTGTTTGCACATACATATATATATACGCAAATGTTCTTAATGAAAAATGTCTAATGTACAATTGTACATTATTCCTTTAGGTTTGATCAACATGGCGACATCGGAATTCCGTCTAAAAATAGAGGACGGAGAGAGCAGACGTGGAAAGCAGGATTCTTCCAGTACCCACAAGTGCAGCGAGTGTGGCAAGGAGTTTCCTAACCGAAGTGATCTGAGGCGACACATGCGGACTCACACAGGTGAGAAACCTTACCGATGTGAGGAATGTAACAAAAGCTTTAGTTTGCTGAGTAATCTGAATAGACACATGCGGATTCACACAGGGTAGAAACCGTACCGGTGTAAGGAATGCAGCAAGCAGTTCAGTGATCTGAGTAGCCTAAAGAAACACGTGCGGACTCACACAGGTGAGAAACCCTATCAATGTGAGGAATGTAGCAGGTGCTTCAGTGCGCTGGCTTACCTGAGGTCGCATATCAGAACTCACACTGGTGAGAAACCCTACACGTGTGAGGAGTGCAGCAGACAGTTCAGCGAGCTGAATCACCTGAAGAGACACATGAGAACCCACACTGGGGAGAAACCGTACAGGTGTGAAGAGTGTGGCAAACAGTTCAGTGAGCTGAATAACCTGAAGAGACACATGCGGACTCACACTGGTGAGAAACCGTACAGATGTGAAGAGTGTGGCAAACAGTTCAGTGAGCTGGGAACTCTGAAGAAGCATATGCGGATTCATACTGGTGAGAAACCCTACAGGTGTGAGGGGTGCAACAGACAGTTCAGGGAGCTGGGTAGTCTGAAAAGACACATGCGGACACACACTAGTGAGAAACCGTACAGGTGTGAAGAGTGTGACAAACAGTAGTGAGCTGGGAAGTCTAAAGAAGCATATGCGGACTCACACAGGTGAGAAACCGTACATCTGTGAGAAATGTAGCAAAATATTCAGTTATTTAAGTCATGTGGCATCATACGAGCCAGTAGCAAGGATTGTAGATTTATTTAGCGGTGACCTCTTATTTCATTTTTTATGCCGTAGTGTGCTCTCTACACGCCTCCATTGATAGATTGTGAACCCTTTTGATTAGAACTTAACTTATATTTGAGTACTTGTAAATGTAAATCCTTAGCGTTCAGAACTAATTGCAACATATGCACTAGTTCTAAATAAAAATAGTTTCCTTCTAGTGTTCTCTACTCCGCATGTAGGTTCTACGCTCTACGTTAACGGCTTTACACCGATGAAGTCTGTTATTTCATGTTTGTCTCAGTAACTCAATTTGCGGCATACCAGATCGTTAGTGTTTAGAAATAGTTGCAGAACACGTCAGTTATGGGTGTGTTTTTTGTGTTTGGTTTTTAATATAGGTGTAAGAAATTTGTCTTTTCGTCTCAAAGTTTTCAATTTTGATAAAATAAATATGTCATTTTATCAGAAGGCTTCGGTAGCGTTCCGTAAGTAGCGACTTGAAAAGTTCGTGACTTTAATACTAGAATTAGTTGCAGCAGGCATGTTTGTTATGGATGCATCAAGATGTTGCTCAGTAAAGTTTACTTTCCAAGTTTTCTGTACGGTACATGTAGCTGATAGTGATTTATACTTTTTTATCTTAGTTTCGTCAATAAAATTACCAATAAATAAGAGAACGTCGTGTGTCGTCTTTATTGTTTTCCATCTTCATGGTTATTTTCCAAGTTGGGGATGTTGTCTGTCTGGGTGAGTTGTCTTTTTTCTTGCTGCCTGATTCTCCCTATGCAAATCAGCACATGTAACATTTTATTATTTCCTTTGTTTCGGAATCAAGTAAAACCCATCGAACCGGTTTTATCCACCCACTCAGTCCCTATATAAACGTGTCCCTGACTGCTCTGATTCTGTCTATCGAGAAGTAAACCTTAGCCTTTGTTCCTTTTTGCACAGAGAACAGATTGATGTTCCAAATCTTTTCTTTTTTTGTATCAAGAGAAACTCCTTTAGTTGTCATTATGAAGAAGTTAAACTGTTCTCCAACTAAAAATTTGACTCACCGGAATTTTCGACTACTAGTAAATCACTGAGTCTTCCTCAGCTATCTGACCCAAATGCCGTGGACACGTGATTTTTCCCACGTGTGACGTCAGTAAAGGGTCAAAGGTTGTCTGAAGTCGATATCGCCCCCCGTCCCGGTTGAGCGATGGTTGAGGTGCCCTGATGTATATGGCCTCTTTTATGCCTCTCTTGAAGTAATCCTGTTCGGTATCCAAGATTCTGACCCCCTCCAAACACGTGTGTCCCGGTGACTCTATGTGAATATGCTGCGACACCTCAGATGCAACAGAACTGGGCCGTCTATGTTCTAGAAACCTCCAACAGGGCAGCGTTTGTTTCTAGGAGCGACGGTGTTTTTTTCGGTGAGGGGAGCGTAACTCCCTTCACAGCATACCTCCCACTGCCGCAATAGAGAACCTTA